ATGAAATCCCCTTCAACTTATCACTAATCTTGATATTGTAGGTACAACGGGTGCCATAATGTTGATGGCATTTTTCGTGGACGTTATTGTTTGGTATAAAGCTGGTAGCATCAACTTCGCCGATGAGCAAGGGCTATTTGAGGAAGAACTGCACACGATTACCGAGAAAAAAAAATCCGAACCGGAATAACAAAAGTCCAAGGTGGAAGCTCCACCAAGATTCTGAAAAAATAGCTTTTCATGTCTATGTTGTATATCAAAACTACTATTGAATTGTTTATGTGCTTCGCCACAATTTCAGCCTGACCCAACATAGAACATACTCCTTCCACTGGTATATACTCATCACAATTAGCATTTTTACAAGTTTTTCTAAAAAAAACAAAAAAACGTTGGTGAGTGGTTCGAAATTCTGGGGAGATATTGTGTTTGAAACACTAGAAATGTCGATAATGATAGAGGTCTTTTTTCGCACAAATAAGTCGTCACAATTTTAGAATCACAATTGGGACAATAAACTGAATTGAACTGAAAAAAACTGACGGATGCGGATGAGGCCATTTTATGCGAAATGACACGTCTCTACGAATGTTCTTAAGAAACACCCTGTGCATCAAATGCGGAATTGATTTTGCGATAAATAATTCTTCCGGCTCGCGATAGTGTCTGAAAATTTTTCAATTAGAATTGCGGACTTTCGACTCTTAAAAAGACACCTTCTTTTCACGCTCGCAGAATTGTAGAATAAAATACTTTCATTACATTAAAATAACAGTTTCTGGCGTCATATTGTTGACAACATCTTGCTAAATTTTGACAATTTCACTTGAAAGAACGTGCGTTAGTAAAGGCTATGACTTCAACCCTTGCACAGAGGCCATCTGTGAGATCCACAGAAGACTCAACCCACGTTAATCAAGAGTAAACGAGGCTCTCTAAGGCGGTCATCTGCGAAGCCAAGCTTCGACTTAGACTGCCGAAGGGGAATCGTCCTCTGCCTTCCACTGTAAGAAAGCAATCCAAACACAACGCATTCATGATTCAACAACGAACAGCGCTGTTTCGACCCGCGATAGATCTCATCAGTGATGCTAGGCCGAACCACATATGCATTCCACCATGCCCCTTCAAGCGTTGAGTGCCCTGAGATAGAATCTTCCCCACACCGTTTCTGTGTGCAGAAGCTAAAATCTCATCCGTTCACACCCACCCAATTCCAAGTGGTCCTCAATCTGCTGCTTAGCACTTCAGCAATATTAAAATTTGATCTGGGTGCTAAGATCCAGGTTCCGGTAGATCAGTATATGAGCTATGCCGTTTCTGGTCCAAAATCCCACGCTTTTTATTATGGCGCTTCATTTTGCAAACTTTCAAACCTCCGAGCGGAACCTGGTGGAACACCCAGCTTAATTCATGATACAGAGTGGCGTCATGTATAGAGCGCCCTTCACTTGGGTCTCATTTGGGCTTCGCCCCCTCCACTCGGCAGTGGTCATCGGCAGCTGAGAATTCCATGGGGAAATTAAATTTAAAAAAAGATTATGAGAATTTTCGTCATCGTCGGCATGGTAGGTTTTGTCCTTAACCTCGACACCAGCGTGAGATGCTGGAGGTTTTTCTGAACTAATGATAGTGATGGCGGAGCGGAGTGCGCTCTATACATGACGTCACTCTGTACTATAAAGTAGGTTGGGTGTTCCAAAAGGTTCCGCTCGTAGATCTCAAATTTCGCAAAAGGGAGCACTATAAGAAACGGCATAGCTCGTATACTTAGATGAATCGTTTGGGTAATATCTGGGAGCTGTTTTAGCCGCTCTCAAGCAGGTGTTCATGAACGATTGGAGTTGCTGTACGTATGTTTCTGCGCACTGGCTCCAGGTAGTGAAAGCATACAGGATGATAGGGAGTAGAATGGTCTTGATTAGGAACAGTTGAATATCGACGTTACTCCTGCGTACGATGATGGGATAGAGGTTGTGTCGAGCGGCCTTTGCCAGCCCTAACCTCTTTTAGATATGAGACCTGAATATTATTTTCCCGTCGTGGGTGACTTCCAGGTATCTTGCTTCGTTTGTCCACGGAATCTCATGTCCGTTGAAGACAACGTTTCCTTCCGGATGTACCTCCCTCCAGGTGAGTAGTATCGCCAGACTATTGCCAGGGTTGATACTAATGTTCCAGAGGTTGGCCCAATCCCTTTAGCCTGGCCGCTTGTTGATGCAGGTAACCTGTAACTAACGCCTGGTTGGTGAATTTTGCCAGTAGAGCTGTGTCAATCGCGTAGAGTGCCAACTTATCGAAGTTGTTCTCCGGCTTAGGCACGTCCGCTAGAACTACACCTTGTGCCTGCCTCCAGAAGTCGCCAGGTGGAGAGTTCTTGTCCTGGACGAATCTTGTTCGGTAGTCGAAATTTTAAATGAAAAACTGCAGAAACCACAAACATATGGAATCAATTGTGGAATGCACTTTCCAAATAACGAAAGAGAAGTTGGTATTACCTATCTTTTCGTGGCATTTATTTCTAGTTCAATTTCGTAGCACTCAACAAAACCAACGAAGTAGTCCCTTGTAAAGGATCAATTAGTTTCATAAACAATTGTGATTATATTACAAGTTTGCAAAAAACAGAGACAATTTTGAGTAAATTTAACGTTTTTCATTAAAAAAATGGAAATAGCAAGTGATCGTGAAAATAATGTGTCATTTTACAAGTTGTTACCGAAGTGAGTTTCAGAAATAGTAAATTTTTCTATTCCTCGTATCTACAAAAGCAGATCTGAGAGCCAAGTTTTGTCTTCAAAAAATAAGTCTTATTTAAAATTTATCAAAAACTAGCTCGAGCCGAAAAAAACGAATATTTAGCCATTTTCTACGACTATTACTTGTTTCATGTCATCCGTTGAAACCACAATCTGTGTTCTTGTTGAACGTGAATATTCAGAATTCTGACCACACGTATCATAACAAATTATAATTCGAATTCTATTATCCTAAATAATTTCGTTACAGCAGGAACTACTTTTTTGTACTGAATATCAAAGTGTAGCTTTCAAGGATTAACGTTCTAAATTTATAAATAATTATAATGTTGTTTACTCAGAAAACAACTCATGCAGATTTACGTTGAATTTTTTTAAAAATACAATTTGGCAAGACGAACGAGATTGAAATCTGGCGGTGACCTGAATGACGCCGCGAAAACAAAGATTTGACCATAACCGTAGAGTGAGGATTTCGAGTATATATTCAGCTTTAATTAGAAATTCAAAGTGAGCGCTTGTACTGGGTGGAAATCGATGGAAGGCTTCAGTAATGTTGACCCCGGGAACTGAACGCCATCTTGAAATAATTCAAGTTTCCGCCTCAGTGTAACTTCTTGTAATTTCGATATTTTTTCTAGAAATTTTCTTCGGTTTCCAATTCTTTTTATCTAACGAATGCAAATATTACGTAAAATGAAATTATTCTCTGTTAAAATTGTTGATATAATGATATCAATTGTTCTTTTTCGAGATTTTTTCCTCATAAAATTATTAAGCCCTTTCAAAATGAAACCCTCCTGTATATCATTCTACATATCTAGTGTATGTTGCAAAAAGCAATATAGTTAAATCGGGTCAACAAGATAAGGGGATTATTATCTTCAAATAAAATGAGTTCATTGATCTCAAGAAATATATTGAGAAATATGATGGTTTTCGTAGAATGACAAATCATTTTATCTAATTTCGGTTAGCCAGGAAAACAATTCACACTGAATATGGTGCAGATGCAGAATCGGAGTGTACACACGCCAAATTTTAACGTCATAGAAATAGTGTTTTTTTATTTTGAATCGTATCACTGCTTGAAATGATTAATGGAAACTGAGAAAAATCGAAGAAGAAGATTACCATGATGTGTGTCAATTGCGGCCAAGCAAAAACTCCCACTTGTATGATACATCATTGGCAAGTTTAAAAAAAATGTTTTTCACTAATACTAAATTTTGAATTGTTATTGCAGAAAATACTCAGAAAGCTTAGCTTTTTCTTCTAGCAGTCCATCTTTATGGTTGCCGTCGAGATTAATTTGATTTTCTAGTTGATTCACAACCTATAGTTGTGTATGAAAAAAAGTACATTCATCAACGGATAAATGTAATGCAAAATTTTATTCTTCTGTTAGGGTTATCATTATCTATTTGCTACACTTGTGGGGTAGCCCTTTTTTTTTCTTTACACGACATACGTATATGCGTTCGTAACTAATCTTTTTCTGTATGACAGTTTTCTTCTGAAACAATTATCCTGTATATATGTAGTTAAATCGTTTTTCCATTCAGAGATCATTGACGCAAAAAAAAACTCTAATGAACTCCAGCAATGAAAATAAATAGAAAAAGTGTAGTAACTTGAATGATCCCACAATATTTATAACTGTCGAATTTCACATTTGCTCTTGAGTAGATTCATTTTAGCTCGAGCTCGCATACAAATTTTAGCTCGTATACAAAAATGTCTCTATAATATAACCATAAGTATTTCATATTCAATATTTCATCCTGATGGCTTTGAAATAGAAATCAATTCACTCCGTTTTCAAAAAAGTCATCTTCTAGTTTTTGTTTGTAAAGTAAACATAATTTCAGACAAACGTTTTGTTAAATCATGAATAAAAATGTATTTTCTTGAATATTTCAGTATGAATATGAATTTTACAAAGCATTTTCTAAATAAATATCCCAATAACACTAATGAATACTCATAATTTCATTACAAGTCTTTAGATATCTACTAAGCAACGTGCTTTTGACAATTGAAGTGAAATTATGCCGTAATTATGAGTGCCATTATTTACACTGATAACATTCACGAATCAAATAATATTCTCTATAAAAATATTGTTTTCCCGTGTCCACGTGACGCCACTGACGTTTCGAGGATTGCTCTACTAGACCCGAGATAAAAATAATCTAGCAAATGCATTTTTAGAGAGTATTGACTCCTCGAATTGAGTACATGGAAAAGGCGACGGTAAATAAGTCTGTTGCTTTCATTGTTGCTAGTTCTCCATTAGATGATATGGATGATTACCAATCGCAATGAGGACTTGAAAAATATTGAACTCACCAGCAACGGCAATCGACATATTATTTTCTTAAATTGAATCGATTACAGGCTTGCTTTAAACTATGCGGGCACAAGTATAATACAGACGAAGAAAATGATCAATAATTTACATTGAAATAATCAATCGTTTATAACGCAGATGTATTTGGTTACTATAATGCACAGGGTGGTTCACATAACCTAGAAATTCTATGTAATTCTCGGGTTAGATTTGTTTATTCAATGTGTTTTGGAAGACTGTACACGCATATGACTCCGCCTTCAGTGTTCTACTACAATTAGAATGCAGTTGTTAGTTTCATTACTTCAACCCTTCAATTCTTATCGAAGATTTTGATCGTCAAAATGTATTTTCCTGATTAATTAAAAGAAAAAATATTTCCTGTGGAGGTAATCATCAATAATTAAAAAAGTGAAAGGTATAATCTTGGAGCAGTAAACAGATCACTGTTTTTTTCTTCAATTAGTCTAAACTATCTATTTTCAAATTTCTAAACACCTTATTTCCTTGTTAATTTACCTACTCGAATGTTTGATGATTTTTTTAACTCAAGTTTCACGGCCTCTAAAGACAAATTCCTTTTGACGAATTTAATTCAATATTATGTATCTATTTAACCAATTCGTACTACTGACCTTGAAGAGGCACTACGTTAGGAAAAATAAGCCTGGAACAATAGATCAATTTGTACAGGAGCGTATTCTGTATAAATTTTCGAATAAGATCATATGCCGCCTACTGTTACTGCAGAGTTCATTGAAAATTGTAACTAAGAAACTGAAACTCTCTCTGAAATTCGTTTTGAAAATTGCTGTATCTCTATATCAAACTCGTTGATTTGTAGTGAAAGAGATGCTTTAGTAATGTTATAAAATGAAAATTTTTTACAGTGTTTAAGATCATCACATAATTTACCATCATTCTCATTCCCGCAAAAGACAATTTCATCGATAAACAAACACGTAGTTTCCTTAGTTTGGTTTGTTTGTAACTTCTATATTATCTTCAACGATATGATTAGTTTATAAGTTTTACAAACGAAGACATCTCGTTTGTTCTAGAGTATCGATAGTATTTACGATTCAGCACAAATAAGTCAACTGTCAATGCCAACTTCACTTCAAAATAGAAATAAATTGTATTCGACATTTTTTCAATTTGGACAGTCTCATTATCGAATGTTAAACTGTGAAAGTTGAGAAGAAATGTCACAGATGTATTTGCTGGGCTTTTGAGAGCCTAGTTTATTTTTGATATTCGTGGTTAATCCCATAGACTGCTTCTTCGCAAGATCTTATCTATCAAAGATCAGGAATGCAGCCAATGCTTTTGGATTCTGGTATCGACTTGTTTTTCAATAATGATGAAAATGGACTAGAATTACCTTCTAAGTGGTCAAGTTCCAAGGATTTCAAATTCGTTTCTGAAATCCATTCTGAAATAAATCTTTTTTGGCATTCTTCATTTGACGAAGATGTCATTTTTTATATGATTGGCAACATTGACAATCTCACTTCATATGTTTCATTTACAAATTGTTGAAAATAAGTATATTTTACATATCTGTTGTGTAAACTAACTAAAACGAGTTTTAATGGCGTTCTTCATACGCTAGATCGTGTGGGTAATTATAATAATAATAATTATTCCTAATGACAAAAAAAACATAAAAGAGTGAATTTAAAGTAATTTCAATGAATTCACAACGTTATTTGCTCAAATTCCAATAGTTTCTCTATAGAGAGTGAGTTTTTAAATCGAAATATCGAAATAAAATCTTTCACTGTTAACTACTGTCTTCATTCGAGTTTGAAGGCCTTTTTGCATTCATGAGTAAAATGAGAAATAGTATGATATAATTTCGGGTAGTTTTACAAACCAAAATATATAAGATTGTTCAGTGGTGGAGCTGCAGCAATTTTAAGACAGGTATTTGTATACTTTCTCGAAATGTTTGTTGGAAAATGTCAGTTTCTTGGGAAAAGCACCTAATGTCAAACCATTAGATGAAATACCTCAATTTTTATACTATGCTCAAAGATTGTTACTTTTCTACAAAATACTGTTTATTGAATTCAAATCGCTGTACTTTTGATTTAATTGATATAAATTATTATTGTAAAATATAGGTATATTACTGAACGTTTGTATTATTTCTATTGATACAGGGTTATTCTGATAAACGAAGTTCTTCATATTTACTTCCTGCCTGAAGAAAATTCAGTTTTGCCCCATTCTCTCAATAACCCAGTGTGTTGGGTCAATGCTTAACAGAGATCAATGACAAAAAACATAAACTTCAAAATGTCTGATTAGCAGAAAAACCTACATAGTCCAGAAAGACTCTTTCAGAATTTGTTTTTCCATGAGTTTCTAAGATTATTTCAGAATTGCAATTTTTGTCTGGGATTCTCTACGTAACTTAAGCTTCAAATGAATTTGAGGTGGGACGATAACCCATTGGGTAAGCGTCAGTGGTCCGTTCTACTTATTCAATCAACCGCTATGTGGAACGGAGGTTCAAGCACTACGGCCCAATGATCGATTTTCACTGCTTACGTCCAACCCGTGCTAGGAATCGCACTTTAAAAGGTAAGAACTCGTTAATCTTATAGCTCACACAGGTTTAGACTCTAAGGGTTGTCGTTCGTAGAGTGTGCCGGCAGATGACAAACATAAAGACAGATTTCAACGGATTTTCTTTTCACTTATCTTCGATTATATCGGAGAACGAAATTATATTCTCCTTTTTGGTAAATTATCATTCCACCGATTGCCACATAATCTAATAAATAAAAATGAATTGCTGTTCGTTAGTCTCGCTAAAACTCGAGAACGGCAATCTTGATAACTGATTTCGTAAATCCTCGACCTTTCTGTGTTTTCTAGTCTATCTTTTGGATTACCAAGAAGCTGTTGCAATTTATAGGAAGTTTTATATGCAACTTTCATATTTACTTCATCGAATATCTGTTGAAGCCCTCTCGTGTATTGGGGTTCATATGCGATTACTATAAACTTGTTATTACTCTCCTCTTTTTGAAAAGTCGAAGATTTACGAAGTGCTCCCCTAAACTTGTTTGTTGCCAAGATTGCAACAGCAAATACATCGGCCAGAGCCGACGAGCGATTAAAACCCGCTTCAAGGAGCATTGTGCACACATCAAATACGGAAGGATAGAAAAATCCAGTGTCGCCCAATATGCTCTAGACAAGGACAACAGAATTGGTGAAAACAATCTGAAACTGATTAAGCATGTGCATGACACCAGGCTACTCGATGCATGTGAGAGTCTAGAAATAGCAAAAGGTAAGAACAGCATGAATGGCGATAAGGGACCCATCTCGTTTAGCCCGCTTTTTAATCTTTTGTTAGGAAGAGAATAATTACTAAGAACTTGCAGGTAGTTGATTACCGAGAAATTCCATATTGAACTTCAGGTATACAACCTCAGGTAACAAACTTTAGTATATAAGGACTAACCAGACTAGACTAGGTATCAATTTTCTTCTCCTGAGGATGCTAACTTTGTTGGCGAAACGCGCGTGGAGTGCAAAAATATCAGTTTGGTGTTATGGCAATTGATCTCGAAAAAAGTTATTCAACTTTCACACCAAAGGTTCCAATCTTATCGTTATAACTTGTTGCTTGTTGTTAAATGTATTTTAATTGGAGCTGTTTTGTACAGAATCCAATATATTTTGAAATACCAGTTTTTGAACATCCGGGATTATGACTGAGTATTATTTGTTACCCGCAGAGCGTGGAAGGCATGAGATGAGTTACTTCGGAAACCAGTTTCTTTTCGTTTCAACTTCTCGAAGAATACATAATACTGTGTGAACTTTCAGAACCCACGGTATAGCTTTCTCGCGGCATTTAAAATGATTACTCCCGTTGATATTTAAAATCTGTAGGAAACCTCAACAAATCAATCCTGTGAATACTAGTAGGCAGTTGAGATAAAAAACTTTCACCCATGAAACCGTAGTAAAGAAAGTTATATCATCAAGGTCAAAAGACCAAATACACATCGCCAGAAGCATCAAGTCCGACTTTTCACAACCGATGGACAAAAAGTTATTTGCAGGCAGGCTTTTTCGGCTCATCTAGAGCGGATCATTTAAAAAATGATTAGTTTCTAAAATTTGATGCAGTGAAAGGAGTTACTTCAAAGGTAAGAAAATGAGGACATGGAAACATATACAGGGCAATAACAACCAGAGGCAACTGGAGATTTAATGATTGGAGAATCGATTGTTTCTAGTAACAACGAGAACTTTGTGCAACTAATCGGTTTTTCATCTTTTTTTTCTATCACATATAGAATGTTGAATCTGAGCCTGTAGGAACAAAAAATATCTAGTTTTATCGCTGAAATATTTTTAGTTGGCGAAATAAAAGTAATATTTCACTAACAAGTATATTTTGAAACATAGAACGTTAAAAAATAGATGAAATCGTGAGTTATGAGTGAAAAACAATCAACATTTTCACAAAGATGAAATAACTCATTCATACGCCAACCTTTCAATTTATCTTAATAATGATAGTAATAGATAAGATTGTCATAATGTGAATCAATGGGAAGATTCATACCCCACACTTTTACTTTTTCTCTTACTTCAGAGAAAGTTCGTGGGTGAGGACTTTTTTGAAAGATTTCTTGAAGTAACAGAATGCGCATACGTTGACAGTGTTGGTCAATATTATTTGTTACATAAAACATAAGGTGTATTCGGGTTCGCAGTTCGAACGATTCCAGGGCGGTTAAAAATAATTACCCAGCTGATTATTCAGAATAGACCCGCGCAAAACTGTTCAAATCTCAACTGTGTGACTACATTTGACAGTTCGAAAACCGTTCAAATAGCGAACTGTTTCTTTGTTAATAACTGGCATTCTGCGGTTTTATGCGTGAAATAACGCCAACTCATTTTCTCAACTTCTAAAATAAAAGTTTGGTATACGATAACAACTTTTCTATCTAAAACACTCTATGGGTGGCGGTATTTCAATTGTAGGTAACATTTTCGGCAATTTACGCTAAGCATAATTTTGGGAAACTTATACTATCGATTCCTAGATGGCGGAGGTTGATTTTAATTTGGTTTGTTCAAAGATGCATAGAAACCATTGTCATTGTGTAAATCCTTAGACAATGCCATTGTATATAGAATATACTAGTAGCTTTGTATATAAATCCTATATACAAAGCTAGTAGCATAAAGCATATGAATTTATTCGCCACTGGATGCAGATTTACGCGACATCTACGGAAAACTAGGTGAAACTGACGAGAATTTGAACCATACAGTTACGCCCTCTGTAAATTACAACGCAAGCTAGGTGTTTTAACTAATTCGTTTTTTTGTAAAAAAATGAGTTTGACCCAAATTTGTACACATGTTAATACATGGTGCAGACATCGAAATCTGTCGCACTTATTTTGTTGTGATCTTCAATTTCTGGAATGGTATATACGTTCAGTTATTCCAAACAACAACATTGAAAATAGAAGTGCCAAGTTGAGTTTCACTCAGCACTTCTGTGAATGAAATACTGAAATTTATTGGATTTCTTTATCAAGAATGTCTGGTCGAAAATTTTTGAAGTATTTTATATGAAGAAGGGGTCCAAGTGATCACATCAGGGATATTCTATGTATGTTATGTGGTTTCTTTCTAATATAACATGCATGTTATGTGGTGTTAGGTTTGTTCATAAACATACCTAGATAACAATAAAAAAAAGTATTCACAGTAAGGAAAACAGATGTAGGAAATAAAGGGAAACTCAATGAAGGAGTATTTTGTTTGCACAAAATATTTTGAGCAGAGACAGCGAATAACAATCTGAAATAAAGTTGGTAAGTCCGGGTTAATCAATTGTGATTAGTTTAGTCACAATTGATTAACCCGGACTGTGTTTATGAACCAGCTATCAGAAATGTTGATCCGAAGCGTATACAGCAGATTTTGAAATTTTTGGAACGAAAAGAAATATCAATGTATTTCATTGCCATCATCAATAAAAAGTAGTGAAAATTCATGAAAACATGGAGCTGTTACCCAACAGACCGTTGTGCAGATTGAGTGAGTGAAGCAACGCCAGACGATCGTTTTTCACTTCCTATCGTCCAACCCGTGTTAGGAATCACACGTTGAAAGGTAAGACTTCGTTAGTCCTCGTACAAGTTTCGACTGTTGAGATTTGTCGTTCGCAGAGGGACGACAGTTGGTTAACAGTAACTCAGTTTTTTTACAGAATTTGTCATTAAAATATACCCATGAAATGCTGTTACTGTAGCTCTACAGGAAGAACACAAATAAAAAACTTGAGTTTTCATAATTTTATTCAAATATCCCCTACTTTCCTAACTATATATTTAGGAAAGTATAACTATATTTTCCGCGATTCACATAAAAATTTGAATCACGAAAAATTAGAATAAAAAATACCAACAAGTATTATTCGACAAATAAAATACTTCTAGCAAGGCAAATATTCATAATACTGATCACTAAATATTACAAAAGAAAATTAGCGTAGCCTATTTATGTATGCTTTGAAACCGATCATTTGTTTGAATCGAATTAACACCAACTATACAGGGTGAGATAATGAATGATGACCTTTGGGAAAAACAGATAGATTTGTGTAAATATTATAGACGTTTCAGTACAATGAGAATAATAAGGTTCAACAATAAAAAAAGTTGATCATCACTGCAATATTTCATCAATCGACATCCACACCCTGTATTGTTTAATAAAATACATTTATAACAAAAAAAAGTTTTCAACAGCTCATCCAAAGAAAAGATTCACAATAACAAGTCTTATTGAAACTGATGAAAAAATAGGAAACTTGCATTCATTTTCAATTCTACTCATGTTGCTCAAAAAAATTGTAAAACCCCAGAAGAAAAAACAAAGTATATTATAATAAACTTGTTACACGATACAGGAATCCACGTTAAACCACACATACACCAAATACCGGCTATTTAATAATTCAATGATTTGTTGAAATGAAGTCGTTTTCACGGCTTATTCAGATTTTTATATATTCAAAATAATTGTAAATTTCCGCAAGTTTCCTATCATTTCCAAGAGATTGTCAAGATGTGCATTTATTTATTGAAAACGACTGTCTTCATCAAATCTCTTCGCAAGGCTACATTTATTTCCACGTAATGGAGAAACATTTTCTGAAAAATTTAAATAATGGATCGGTCACCAACAAGACTCACTGAAACTTTTGAAACAAATAGCGCTTCACCATGTGCCAATACGGTACATTTCAAAATATAGTTTCCTATCCTCAATATATTTTTTCTATATTGGGAGTTGTTTGAACCGATTAAATTTTATAACTATAATAAATATTAAAACAATTGTGAGCAGATTGTGGACTGACAACAATAATGAGCACTCAGCTCTGGTAACATAAAAAAAAATTACCACACAAAAAATAGCCTAGGACGCAATACGAACGGCAGAAGTCACAAAAATGTACTGAGTTTTGAAAACTGCCTAGCGGCAAAATAAATAACATTAAAAATTCTAATATTTCAGTTGAAGCTAATTTACAAAAAATATATTATCACTGGGAATGATAAACGTCTTCAATTACTTGCTTGGTGTGTTTACTTAGTCTAAATATTTATTAAAATCTCACGTACGAGTCTTCACTTCAAAAATGTCAACAATAATTTTTTTGACTCATTTGTTTTCTCATACTTTCATATAAACATTGAATTATACGAAAGAAATAAATTCTTTCGAAACAAATACTTCTATATGAACACTGAATTATTAGAAGATACTTTTCTCTACTCAGTTTGTATTTCAAGCATTCGTTGTGGAATAAAATCAGATATCATTCACAGGGGTTCTACTTTAAATGAATGGCAACAAATTGCACTTTCATGGAACACTGTCATCCTCACTGGTATACATCGATGTTTCGCCTTAAGACACTTGTCCCAAGGCTTTTCAGTACCAAATTGGAAAACATTATAGAAAATACACACACTTCATTCATGAATTACGATTTTTCAATGTCACGGAATAAGCCTAATCTGCTTATGTCATCAATGACATCGTAATGACATTCATTTATCTATTTGGTTTAATCCCAGCCAAGAGGAATCTTATTTGAATTAATTTATTTCAATTTAATCAAGATGTTATTACGGTAAAATTTTGAATAGGCTGCATCGGTCGATTTTGAAAAAAAAATGTATTGTACTTTCGTATTTTGACGTATAGGTCACGAATCCTTAAAAAAATCGGTGCTCTCTTCCAGTCCCCGAGTTACAGCCCTTCTGAAAATTGCAACTTTTCAGCCTTCATTTTGCACAATACAAACTATAGAATCACAAGTATTTACTCGCTACATCATCTTCGCACTTTATTTCACATTCTTTGATACTTTTCAGTTTGATAATCAACATTTCTCCTATAAAAAACTCAATTTAACAATGGATTCGTTTTCTGACTACATTCCTCCATTTCAAGATTATACTAAGGTTAATGTGTTCAAGCAGCAACTCAGGCACTGCGCCTTTGATGTCTACCGCAGTGGTAGACGAAACGTCGGACATAAAAACCTACAGACCACGGCCAAAAAAAAACCAGAAAAATATTTATTCAGTCTTCAATTCCTGTCCCCTTCAAAGCAGCCCCCTCAGAAATAATACACTTGTACCAGCTTTTTTCCAATCCACGAAGCAGTTCTGACACGCACTTTTTGGTATGTCCTTGATCGATTCAGTTTTCATCTTATCTATCGTCGCAAAACGCCGTCCTTTTACGGGTCTCTTCAATCTTGGGAACAGGAAAAAGTCGCAGGGCTGCAATCTGGTGAATACGGTGGCTGAGGCGTTTGGCTTTCGGTCTTCAAAAGGTACACAAGACGACAAATTTTCACTTCTGGAAAACCTGTACACCAATCTTAATGAAAGAGAATCTGCGGCGGCCATGTTTTGTGACCTAACCAAGGCTTTCGATTGTGTAGACCACATGCTACTTCTTCACAAGCTAGAAGTTTACGGATTTAGAGGATCTGCATTACTTTGGTTTGAGACGTACCTCTCTCATCGGCGGCAGAATGTTCTATTAGATGGAATTTCATCAGAGGAACGTTTCATTGGCAGTGGGGTCCCGCAAGGTTCCCTTTTGGGACCGGTGTTGTTTCTCATTTATGTCAAGACTTAGTCCATGTTAGCGTAAGTGGTAAATTTACATGTTTCCCTGACGACAACACTATCCTCTGGCAGAGCAATACGGCCTCAAATTTACTTGGTCAAATCATCATTGATATAACAAGGTGAAAGAGTGGAGTGCTTCCAATCTTTCATCATTCAACATCGACAAAACAAATGTGGTCACGTTTAGGGGAAAGTACACTTGGAAAATGTAAAAATTGAAAATTTGGAGAAAAACAAATTTTTAGGGCTCTCCATTGATGAAAATCTAAAATTTGATTCCCATGTTGACTACTCATGTAAAAGACCACCAGCAGGATGTCATGCAGTGAGAGTTGTTGCAAGAGTTAAACAGTACTATCACAAGATCAGTTAAGTTTGCACAAATTGAGTCCTTTTTACGTTATGAAATTTGTTTCTGAGAAAATTGTGCACAATTTCCTTTCAATATGGTATTCTCTCTACAAATAAGATCCATCAGATATTTATGCAAGGCTAGCTACAGGGATTCATGCCGCCCATTATTTGTGAAGCAGAAAATCCTGACCTTAGTATGTATTTTTATTTTAGAAACAATGTGTCTCAACTACAAAAAATATAAAAATCAATTTAATACCACCTCAACTTATAGTACACGTCTGTCTTACTTCATTTCCCTTCCAAAACTTACTCTACCCTTTACACAAAATTCTATTACTTTCAATAACAAGAAGAAGCAATAATGAAAAGAAATTCAGAAAGAAAGTAAAAGAATTCCTTGTTGGGAGGCCCTATTATAGTGTGGACGAATTCTATCAAGGCTTTATCGAGTAATTGGCATGTAGCTTTGTGTAAACAAGTTATTGAAATCAACACGAAATGGCTATCAATGTTCATTACATAGCTTTATATATTTACATAATAATAATAATCTTTATATATTCATGTACTTATATTTGTATCTGTTCAGCTGGGCTTAATATTGTTCTGTCCATATGCTCTGCTCTTGTCTCTAAGCATTACTTTATAGTTTATATTTGTTAATTGTCCCATACACACGTTTTACTTCACTAGACTTTGATGTTCAGATGTTCAGATCTTGGGTAATAAAGTATATTTTGATTTGATTACGGTGTTGTTTTTGGCCAAAAAATCACAAACAAGCAAGGTGAGCAGTGAGCAAAACCTTGACAGCTCCGGTTTATAGAAAACATGATTATTGAACTGAATAAATATGTGTGATTCTATAGTGTGGTGCAAAAAGAAGGCTAAAAAGTTGCAATAGAGCTATAACTCTGGAAATGAGGGAAAGCACCGATTTTTTTATTCGGATTCGTGATCTACATGTTATAATGCGAAAGTACACACAAAACGTTTTTCAAAATCGGCGGGTGCATCTTTATCCAAAATCTCACCTTTGCTAGAATGAACTGAGTACAATTTCACTTTGTATATATTTTGTTAACATCTAGTAACACAGCAGAATTTGTTTGAACTTCTCAACCCAGGCACGATACATTCGACAATGATAAAACTGAAAATTACTAGCGCTTTATATCAATCCACACACAAGAGACATTGAACCTGTAACTCGTAATAATGAAATTCATGAAAAAAACATGTTACCTATAGTAATTAGGCTTGAATGGACCTGCTTTATTCAACCCCATATATTTAGCTTGCTCATCACTCAACTCTGTAAGATGGGCATCAAAAGTAGGCAGATGTAGGCTAGCCACATACTCGTCTGAAAATAATTGAAACGATTAATTTTCAAATAAGTGAAAAAATGTTTATTTCATAAAATTAGTGAAACATTCACCAAATGCCCTTATTAAAACTTTATTATAGGAAATTTCTGCCGAAATATTATAAACTAATTCGTTAGAAGGTAGGTTGGAAACAAAACACCCAGCTAGTATGCAACAGTTTACTTCGGAACACCAAAATCATTTCTTCGAAGTGTCTTCGAGTCTGAACTATCAAATATTACTTGTATTGCACTATTTGGAACGTTTGTTGTAGTAATGAATAATACTGGAGTTATATCCCAACACATTCCTCTTGTAGATGATCACTTGGTGATCGAAACACGTGTCGAGGTGTTGAAAATAACGGTTTGGTGTTGGAGAAAAACTCCCCTTATATATTTAAATGAAATTGTAACCATAGCAGAATAATGTGGAATTCACTTATTTGCCGACGACCCCCCACTGTACTTTAGTAGTGAAGATGTACATGAGTGAGTTGATGCTATAAACGCTAGTCTTGAAAGGGTGTATAGATATTGCTCTGCAAATCTGCTGAAGGTGAATGTAAATAAAACAAAATAGATGTTATTGGGGAAAAATAGAGATCATAATGAAAACCTACTTCTACGATTGAATGACAGTAATATAGAGAAGGTAAACAAATTCGTGTACTTGGGTGTAACTATCGACAGCAACTTGAAATTCAAGGAACATGCTAATCAAGTTATCAAAACAATAGCTTACAAAATCAACTATTTAAGAAGATGTTCCCATACAGAGTGATCCAACGAAAAGTATGCACCTTGCTTTTCTCCTTTTGAGGGGGACACATTTTAGATGTATTTTTCTACCTGTACCTTCAACCCCCTAGCGAGGGTGAGTAACAACCCTAAAATTTTAAATGGAAAGTGGGGTCGAGTGATATATCATTTGAAAGGGCACAAAATTA